AGTGGGGCACGGCGAGATCAACAAGCGCGGCCAGTTGAACGAGGTTTCTTCTGGAGACTGAGCCCTCAGAGCTACCCCTTGCGCTCCCTCAGAAGACAGAGTAGGGTGGGGGGAAAATGTTTCCCTTTTCCTTCTGCCCTTCCCTGCTCCAAAGTCGAACGGTGACACGTGCTCAACTTTCTAGCCATCCAGTGTGACCAGAAAATCCTAAATTGTCTGGATTCTGATGAAAACATAGACCCACAAAATCAAACACCCAAATACAAAAGAATAATTGTATGAATCTTTGCAGTCTCCCTACCACTTCCTCTGGTCATCAGCCCTGCCACGCTGCCAGGTCCCCCCGAGTGGGGTCTCTCATCCCTCGTTTACAGATCCGAGACTGAAACACAAGGTCAGCTGACCAATGAGGACTGGGCTGGAACTCCACTGTCAGACTTCTGAACCCAGGCTCCTTGTGCATTTCAGGGTTGCATGCTTCCTCGGCCTCTTTAAAGAAAATACTTCCGGAGCCCTGGTTGGTGTGGCTCAGTTGGATTGAGTGCTCGCCTGCAGACCAAGGGGTCACTGGTTCGATTCCCAGTCCGGGCACACGCCTGGGTTGTGGGCCAGGTCCCCAGCAGGGGATGCAGAAGAGGCAACCACACACTGATGTTTCTCTCCCTCTCTTTCTCCCTCCCTTCCCCTCTCTCTAAAATGAAATAAACTCTTTTTTTAAAAGAGAGAATACTTCCTGCTCTTTCCTGAAAGTTGGTCACCTATAAGCAAGCACAGCGATTCCACAGCCAGGACACCTGAGGAGGACAGAGGCCCTGGACCCTCATTCATGGTGCCCGGATGGCCAGGCGAGGTGACCAGTGCTCTCTCGAACTTTCGGGTCTCCTCATGTGGAAGAGGCATTCTCCCTCCTTCCAGGGAAGGCAGCGAGTGTGGGAAGGGAGCCGATGAGGGTGGAGAGGAGTCGCTCGTGGGGACTAAACTTGAAAGGCAGGAGAGCCGGCTTCAGCCTTTCCCAGAGCAAGGTTTAGTACAGACTTCGGCAGACGGCATGAGCGAATTCGGAAAGGCGATGAGGACGTGATTAGGGGGATGCAGCAGAACACCCACCAGCATCTCTCGCTACCTGCAAATCCAGCAGCAGACGGGGTGGGGCGGGGCAGCTTCACACACTGAGCCTGTCCGTCAACAACTCCGGGTGAACGCCCACCTGGGCTGAGAGGGCACAGGGGCAGGTGGGCTTATCTGGAAGGATAAGGGGTGGGAAGACAGAGAGAGAATGTCCATGAGGTGCTTTGAGCTCTTTCGGGATAAACGCTGATGCGCTGAGGCGCCACCCGCGATGTCTGTTCATGGTTCTAGAGGAGAGAAGTTCATTGGGCGCTCTAAGTGGGCGTGTTCTGCTTCCTCCTATGAGAATGGGGACCGATAACCAGACTCACCGGATGGACACAGATACCACCCTCACTGGCACAGGAGAGGTTTTTTCTCAGACAGCTTTGCCTGCTGCCCTCCTGTGCCGTACCTTAAAGGTCACTCACCTGGAGCAGGTACGTATGAGCTGTGTTCTTCCTTTCCCCCAGAGACCCCCAGTGGAGACCCCCAATGAGGAGTCTCCGGCCACGAGCCTGCCTTCTTCCCCTGTGAGCGACTTTGATTTCAACTGCTTCTCCTTTCCTGTGGACACTCACGCCGTTAAACAGACATGTCCGCATTGGGAGAAGTCGAAGACATTTCCAAAAATTAAACTCACAAATATAGTAATCATGGGCGATGTTTCACAAACAGTTCTTTAATTTGCAAAAGATTAACAGAGTCTTGTAAACAAATATTTGTCCAAAGGGCATCTATATTTTTTAAGTATGTTACCAAGTGCTTTTCCAATTACATAAAATGAGGTTCACAGATATTATCTTCTTGGAAAGAACAATTATGGAGGAAAAAAACCAACAGAATCCAAATTAATTCTCAATATTGTGTTCCTATGTCTTTGCACCACGTTGGCCCCCGCAACACTGGAACACGGACACCACTAGAGCAGCCATGGCTTTCGTGAGAGTCAGAGCCATATTATAATTCGGACTTCACTACAGAGATCGTTCCGGGCTCTAATGACTTTTTGGCATGGGGTGGCTTTGCGGCTCCTCGGCATGCTAACGAGCCTGGTGACATATAAAGCTGGGGGGTGGATGATCGCAACCCCCCACACTCCAGAAACAGGCCCCTCAACTCTGGCCGTCTTTCAAAATCACAAGTAAATCTTTATGACACATACCCTGGAAGACAGCTTTGAACAGTTGCTTCCTCTCTCCAGGGAATCACATCTTCCTCCTGGAATTCCTTCCGCATACAGACGACAGTCACTTTTACATCCGCCACAGTCCCCGGGGCACGCCCCGCCTCCCAGGCAGGCCGCCTCCGGGCCGAAAGAGCGACAGCTGTTCTCGCCCCGCCGGGCCCTCCGTCCCTGCCCTGGGGGAGCCCTGGCAAATGTCTGCTGCAGAAGGGGAACCCAGCGCGGCCAGGGATGCCAGCTCTTCCTCTGCGTGGGCCAAAGGAAAAGGTGTTCCCTGCACAAATATTTTAAAATCTGTGCCCACTGTCGACCCGCTCAATGCCCTCGCCTTTCTTTCCCTAAAAGACTTGAAAAGTAACACCCGGGCGCTTTGGATGAACCGAGAGCCAGGCCGAGGTGCGACCCCTGTCCACAGGCCTGGGGTCTCCACATGAGTGATTTGGGGACCCCCCCAAGGCAAAGGCGGTAGCAGGACACCTGCTCAGGCCCCTCACACACACCTGCACACACGTGTGTGTCCACACACGCACACCTACAGCCCAGGTAGCACACTTTTATTCACTTTTGCATTTTGAAATTTTATATAAGCTTGGCTTTGGAGAAAGGGTTGCGCTGTCAAGGGAAAGAAACTGGTTGCAGTTCAATCCCCTTATTTCATAAACGAGAGAGCCGAGGTCTGAAGGGAGTGGGTGGCATTGCCACGGCTGCAGAAGCTGTAAGTGAGCAAGCGAGGACCGAACCCGGGCCCGGAACCTCGGCCCGGCCTCCGTTTGGCACTCAGTTCTTTCTCTTCACGTCATCCGGTCACAAGTTTCCCAGGCGCGCCCACTTCTGTGGCCCACGCTGCCCACCCAAAGCCAGGGAGAGGCACTGTCACACTGTTAACGGCACCGGTTACGTGGGCTGCATCACAAAAACTCAACAGCACTGAAGTTTCTTGTCTCACGCATTGTTTTGAAACCCTCCCAAACCCCTAGGCGGAGCCTTCCTTCCCACCTTCCTTCTGATCAGCGTGCCGAAGGTCGAGAAGGGGGCCCCGTGGAGATGAGCAGCCCCTGTGGTGCATCCGCCCAGGCGATGGGATTAAGGGGTCCAAGAACGACCCGGACCCAGACCCAGACCCAGAACAGGTTCTTAAAGTTTCTGGAAAGTAAGCTTTTGAGCAGGTGGGATGGGAAGATGACATGACTGAGGCTTAGGAAAACGAAGTTATCTCGTTCTTTCATCAACATTGTCTGCAGGTACCTTCTCTGCTCTTGGAAAAGGAAGGAACACACAGAAGTAGGCCCTGCATTCAGGGTTCCTTTTTTTCTGGCGACTGTTGCCTCTTTTCATAAAGAGTAGGAGTTCTGGACGCCTGGCAGGGTGGAGGAGCAAGTTTTCTGCAGGGAAACACCCCACACTGGGGCGATGGCCCCACAGGCCTGAGCCCCGAGAGTAAAGACAAGCCAGAAATAGCTCACCCTTCGCTGGGACTGGCACGGTTTCATGTCATCGAAAGTCTATAATTAGAACGAGATGGGCTGGGGCGGCTGGTGCTCCTAGGCTCTTGCCAAATTTAAAAAAAAAAAAAGAAAGAAAGAACCCTACAATTAATAAGACCTGGGATAACTATCACATGCTTCAAATTACGTTCATAATGTTTCATCACACGCTGTTTAGCGAAATCAGAAGTCACCAGACACTGTGACGAAAAACCAAGGGAATTAAGAGGACAGCGTAGAGCTGGAGACCGGATAACGAGGGTTTTGTGCACAGACGTGAGCCTTCACTAATATGTCCTAAAAGAGGAAAAACAACCTGAAGGATTTTGACCAAGAAACGGAAACTTTAAAGCAAACAGAAAAGTAACACGTTAAAAAATGCAACAATTGATCATAACAATGCAATGGATGAGTCTAAAGTGGAAGATACGGACATGAGGACGGAATTAAAGAGCTGGAAGCGAAACTGGAACACCACCATGCGCGTGAAGCCCAGAGAGAGAGAAGCAGGAGAAATAAATACAGGGGACAGGGGGAGAGAGGGGCGCGGAGGCGGCTCCGGCTCCTGGGAACCGAGGTCCCAGGAGCACCACAAGTAAGCGGGGCGGAGGGGAGCCCCAAAGCCGCCGCCGAGAAAGTCTCCGGCTTCGGCGGCATCTTCCACAACAGTCGCGCTAGAAGAAACGAGAGTGACAGGAGTCTCAGTCACACCCCAGGAATTGCACAATGAGCCTAACTTTGGCCAAAATGCAGACGCAAACCAGGCAAGTTATTCTCCTTAGGAAACAATTAACTAAAATAAATCAGTATTGAAGTACATGGTGGTTACACTGTTTTACCGTTTAGTGGTTTAATGTGTTTTATATTTTTTACCTTAGTGCTTCTAAATAAGATGCCTACGAGCCTACCAAAATCCAAAGCAAACGGTATCCTACAGCTGCGTTAGGGAAGCTTTTAAATACAAGTTCAGTTCCAAGAAACAAGACTCCGCAAATATTTGGTATGCTCCTCAAATACTCTTATCAGACTCGCTGCGACCAAGCGGTGGTTGAACTCCCGGGAGTTTCTGCCCGGTGACGTGCCACTGGGTAATCAACTAGGAATAATGCAAATACGGGGGTGGGGGTGGGGGGGATGTAAGTGGCAAAATATATTCAAATTTCACGAAGATTCTCTCCCAAAAGCTTTCGAGAAACATTTTGCAATTCCCAAGCATTAAGGAAAGATGTCTCCTGCAGAAGCCAACCACCCAGAGGCTCACCTGCACCCTGCTCTGTGTCTCAGCAAATAAAACCGACCGGACTGGGAGCAGCGGCTCAGGCGCTTGAGCTTCAAGGACAGCTCATCATCAGCTGCTGAACTCACCTAACAACGAACGTCTCTGGCGTCCGGCTTGGTGCCAACGCTACCTGAAAGGACTCATTTACTTCTAAAAGGTGAGTCATTCGCTGCCCGCCCACCAGTCGAACGTGGTCAATATTGGTAACACTGTTCCAATATGGCCTCAGTCCCATGCGCTCCCCGAGTGACCGAGAGGAAGACGAAGGGGTTGATACACAGCGCCCCTAGATCACGGTGCTTCATCAGGCCCGGCAAATCATGCTCACGGAAACAACACGCGGGCGAGACAGGTGTCTTCCCAGCGCCAGCACGGTGCAGAGAGTCCCGGGATTCCACACCACGGCTGGGTTTGCCTGACCACGGTAACCGGGGGTCCTCTCAGGTCCCGTGGCACAGCCACGGCTGGGAAGACAGTGACATTTAATGCCCAAGTAATTACAGAGGCAACTCCGCGATACCAGTGATTTAGAAAATCATTCTCTTCCAGAAGCTGAAGTAGCTCTGGAAGGCCCGTCGGAGCTCAAAGGGGAAAAGCAAGCAGATTTGGAACCGAGGAAAACCAAACAGCCGCGGAGCGTGGTTCGTGCCAGGGCCTGCAGAGAGCAGGCCCGCGGCTCTGGGAGGCGACTTCCGACCAAGGCTCGGCGGGCGGGACGAAGGGCGAGCCGCGGGAGCTAAGCAGTGCGGTCAGACCCTTTCCCACGTCAGCAGGAGGCTGCCAGGTGAGCGAGGACATGGGGCAGCCGGTCGGTCTCCCTTCCGAAAGGAGAGCCGACGGGTAGCCTCGGCCTTTGGCCGATGCCCAGGTGGGTCACTAGGTCGCCCTGTTGCCATCAATCAAGGGGCCGTGTCCAGCCCTTAGACGTGAGCGGGACGATGTTTTCCGTGTCGGTTCTGTGGCTTTAGGTGGAGCAGAATCTCTCCTCGGGGGCAGAGCTTCCTCGGTGGGCAAAGGCAATCCGGCCAGGACAAAAGCAGACAAAGCAAGCCACGAGGGGCAGGATTTGCTGGACTCTGCCCAACGCACTCCCTACACCGAGTACTCGGTGCATGTTGCCTGGACGAAGGCGGGGAGGACGGAGAAATGACTCCCAGTCAGGCGATCACACGCAAGCCACCAGAGGAGGTCCTCGGGGCCTACTTGTCCCCACGGAAGGGGCGTCTCTCCGCAGCTTCCTCCATCAGAGGCCTCTACCTGCGCCACGAGCACTGTCAGGAAAGAGAACTGGCGAATTCTCGAGATCGCCCATTCTTCTCCTGCTTCTTCTTTTCATTCGGATGAGGAATACAGCCATGGGGACACATGTTTTTAATTGTAAAGATGCTGGTAAGAAGCCCCCTCCCTCCCCTCTGCCCAGTTCCACAAGCACTCCCCCAGCCCCCTGCACCCCGCCCCGCATCAGAGAACCGTCGTTCTGAACTTCCGGTTTCTTCTTCCAGAGACTTCGTGCATATAAAAGGGGGTGCAAATATATTTTTTCCAGTTCCACTTTTAAAGAGTTCCACTTGTTCGAAAACGCGTATTTGCTCTGATTCTAAGCGGCTTCCTCTTGGGAACAGAAAAGCCGGAGCATGGCATGTAAAGACATGAAGCCGTGTCACACCTGAACACGCTGAGTCCGTGCGCCACACTGCGTGCATTGTGGACATTGTGCCACGTTCCCCTGATACAAACCCTGCAGTGTTGGTGTCAGTATCGTTGTATCAAGGCAATAAACCCCTGACACAGAAAAATCAGCAAATGGCAGTACGGGTTGGCAAAACCATCCTCCGGTCTCCACCCTCCTCCCCACCTCCCCTGATGCACAAATCTGTGCTCATGGCTGCTTCTCCCTCCTAAGTTCTGCCGGGACACTGCAAGGGGCCCACCTACCCAGCACCGGACCCCACAGTGCCTTACCCCCCCAGAGGGAACAAGCCCAGACTTGGAGCCAGACCCATCTGGACTTGAATGGAGTTTCACTACTCCCTCGCTCTGGGAGCCCGGACCCTTTCCTGGCCCCCTTGAAAGGGAGAAAGCGGGAGTGGGGTGGGGGTGAGGGGGAGCACAAAATGGAAGAAAGTTTACAGGTTTTTTTGTGACCGAAAACTTATGGTTTTCAACCATAAGCAAGATCTGAATTTTTTTTTAATTTGACCCTTTTTAAACATTTAAACAGTCTATGGTGATTGAGCCAAGCCATCGGCATTTGTATTTGTTCTTACCTCGTGTCTCCCCTCTCGTTGTCCTCCGTGGACTCCAGATACAGCCACGCAGGCAGGTTGGACCCGAGAGGAAGCGGATATTCGGTCTCTACCCACCCCCCCCAGGTTCCTGACTCAGAGCTCCGAAACCCGCCGGGACTCCCTGGGCAGGGAAAGAGCGCAGCCGGCCATTCTTGCGGAGCGGCCCCTGCAGGACCAATTCCCCGAGTTTTCCTGCATCCGAGCGCGTCCCGATATCCCCTTCGTGTCCTCAGAAAGGAGCTGCAGCTGCCGCGGGACCGGGCAGCAGCTGCACTGCGGGGCATGAGTGCCCAGAAGCGAGGACTTCTGGTCCCCAAAACACCTGGGCGTGAACGCGGACAGCAGCTCCAGTCGCACGAGCCTCAAGCTGCAAGCGCCGCGTGTCGCGCCGTGTCCCAGGTTCCACACCGGACGGGGCCTTTCAGTTCGTGGCTTCCACGTCCTCCCCGCCGAAAAATGTCACGTTGGAGGGTCCTCAATGGCTGTGACGCGTAGTCCAGAGCGTGAAAGGATGACAACTCTGAAGCCAGACCACGTGGGGCAGGTCCCACGACGAGGCAGCTGAAGGCCTGGGACACCGGCCTGACTTCCCCGCGTGGTTATTTCCTCACCTGCAACAACCGGGATCACGAGGCACCTACCTGCAAAGCCCTGGGCGAGGCTGCTGGCACGCGGTTCGCTCCCAGCCCGGACACCTGGTTCTGCCCCCGCCCCCGCCCCCGCCCGGTACGTGGCCTCATACACGCTTGCCGAATGAATGGGTGTGGGAATAAATGAATTGTTAAGACTCTGAAATATTTTCCCCGCAGCTGGGTAAGTCACTGGCTTTCCGCTGTCCCTGTCCCTGCGAACCAACCCAGGTAGGGCTGAACGCGACCATTAGAACGGAGTGCCCTGCGCACCGCGGGATCCAGGGCTTGTGTTTCTGACAAATGGGGCACTTACTTTAAACGTGTTATAAAACGTCACCATGGGCCCTGCTGGTAAACCCTGAGAGTGTCCCCCTAGGGGGCGCCCCTGAGCTGGGGGTCGGAGGGGGCGCCATGAGTCTGACCCCTCCTCCCCAACATCCTCCGCCACCCCACCCCCACCCGCCACCTCCTGCTCCAAAGCGCCGGAACACACACATCCGAGTGCGCATGCCCCCGGCGGCCCCCAGCCGTCTCTTCCAGCCAACTGCGCGCCCCTCCCCACCCGAAACCCCGCTGCCAGGGTCCCCGCCCCGGCTGTCGCGAATGGTACGAACACCCCACCTGGGTGGCTGACACAGCTGGCCGGTTTTCTTCTGCCTGTCCCTTGTCACATCCCGTGAGCACGAGTATTTGGAGGTCACTCCCGGGTTGATTTCATAAAATCGACCAACCAAGAACTTCCAGCCAAGAATTGCGCCTCATCCTTCAAGTTACCGCCACCACGTGGGGCGCGCGTAAGCTTTCCAGAAGTTCAACCAACGCTGCATAAACTTGACCTCGCTTCCGAAAATCAAAAGCGTCTACTTAAAAAAGGAATATATGTATATTAATTATGTAATCGAGTTGGATAATTCTTAAAGCAAAGATACCACTATCTAAGTACATGAATCTACTAAATAATTTTACTTAAGTTTTTGTGGGGTAAAGTTTTCTGACAAGATTTTGGCAGGCGTTTCTAAATAGGTGTTTCTGTCAGACTATTTCCACCCCTTCAAGGGGCTAGTTCCTTTTTCATTAATAACTCATCTGTGCCCGATACAGGCCTGTGTGGGACCAGGGGCCTTTCCCCCTCCCGGGCTGCCTGAACCCTTAATCCCTGGGGCACACCCACCCCCTCTCTTACGGATTCCTCATCTCTCTGCCGCTCAAACCACAGAAACACGCTAAGAGAAACGAGCCAGGCAGTGAAAGACAAATACCATATGATCTCACCTTTAACAGGAACCTAAATAACAAAACAAAGAAACAAACAAAATGTAACCAAAGACACTGAAATAGAGGACAGGCTGACAGTGCCCACAGAGGAGAGTAGAGGGAATTTCAGGGGACAGTGGGAAGGGTTCACAGGAACAAACTTAAAGGACACATGGTCATAAACTAAGGGGAGGGTGGCAATGGGAGGGAAGTGGGGAGGGGTAGGAGGGGGGACTGGATTGGGAGTAAAAAGGAGAAAACTGTATTTGAACAATGATTAAAAAAAAAATCAAAACCTGAAAAAAAATGTCCTGTTTGTATTATCTTTTGTTTTTGCTTGTTCAATAAAACTGTGTTTAACTGGAAAAAAAAAAAACACAGAAATACAATCAAAGCCTTTGTTTTCCGTTTCCTTACATATTTGATATCAAGTCTGAGCGTATAAACACATTTTTCAATTGCTACCTCAGCAGATTCCACAGGTTTCCCCATCTCTTGCCACAGAAGCCCCGGCCGCAGGCCAACCCCACATTCCCGAACTGCCACACAGCTGAAGCCGCTGACCCCCCGCCCCCTCGGTGGCCAGGGCCTCCTTGTGGGGCCCTGGGAGCAGAGAGGTCAAAGCCTCCCAGGTTCATCCCTAAGGGGGGGAGTCCTTGGGGGTGTTTCTCAGACAGACTTCACTCTCAGTACTCTTAGTGAGATGGGCTTTTCTGTTTTCACTGATTCTCTTCCCACATCAAAAAGCAACCGCGACGTTTTCCACGTTCGGACTCATCTTTCCTCTGGGGTCTCAGGCTTTATGGCTCAGCCAGGCCTGGCGTCTGGCTCCTTCCGCTCTGAGGATGACGTTCCCGCCCAGACCTGTACGAACAGACCTGCGCCCCATCAGACACGTCCAACCCGAGCCCTGGAAGCAGCCAAGCCCAAGTTCAAGTTGACAGCACACTGCCTACTAGGGCCACGTGAAGAAACGGGACGAAAACTGGTGGTAGTGAGCCCTTCTGTAGAGTCTGACGTTTCTAAAGAGAACAGCTCAGAAGGGCGATACTTTAGCCCGAGGAGACAGACACCGCGGGGCCACACGCCGGACTCGGGTGCAGCAGGCGAGGAGATGCTTTCAGGGCTTGTCCACAGACGCACGCTCCGTGACCGGCATCACTCCCAGAGGCCGCTCCCTCCAAAAGCCCAGGCCGTTCATTCTCCCCTGCACCTCGGTCGCTCTGAGCAGCACAGGGACCCAGCAGGCAGCCTGCGGGGCCCGCAGCGGCCCGGGGACACCCAGGCATCCGCACTCGGGTGCAGCTGGCGCGCCGCCACCCCCACACGGAACCTTCGCACCCGTTTCCTGTGGGAACGCTGGGATCCCAAACCAACCTGACAGCTACGTCTCGCCGCTAATCCCTCCAACAATCAGCCCACTGTTGTTCGGTCCGCCCTGGAGTTTCTTTCATTTCCGTCCAAGCTTCCTTTCTGAAATAAAAGTCATCGCCCCCCTGGCTGCGTTTGCTTCCTACCTGTGCGGATTTGTGAAAATGTCGCCTCCGGGTTTACTTTATTTTCAGAGCCGTCCCCGGCTGCTCTGGGGTCTGCTCCTGGAAGCTCCCTTTCCGAGTGTGCAGGCGGTGGGTGACCATGTGCGTGACGTGGATCGTGTGTTCGGTGTGGGGGAGGGAGAGCGGGCAGCATCCCGGGCTCTCTGCACAGGAGTGAAAGCCACACTTGCCTTCATTCACAAACGGAGAAACTGAGGCACTGGAGCAGAAGCGATGTGCTCAAGGGGATGTTAAGCGCAGGCGCCGGGTTTGAGTGCAGATGTGCCAGACTACCCCCCCCCACCCGAAGCCCTCCGGGGGGCAGCTGGAGGGTCCCACCCACGGCTCTCTCCACACCAGGCAGGCCCTGCTTTGAAGGATCGCAGTCCGTCCCCAACTCGCCTCTAGCGGGCGTCCTGGAGTCACGGTGCTGGAAGAGCGTCTCTGCCTTACAGTTGTCTGCAAACAGACGTCTGCTGTTTCGTCTCTTCGGTGTATTTTTTGTATCTCGGGTGCACAGTTCTAGCATTAATGCAAACTTTCTTGCAAAGTCCTGGTCTGCAAGTGCGCTCCGCCTCTCCTGGACACCACCCATGCGGGTGAAATCACTTGGGAATACTCAGCCAAATTCCAGCTATTGCAGAGGCCTGAAATCAGGCTGCAAGATTTAAATCTGCAATCTCGAAGTACTCCCTTCTGGGTGGGAGGGGTAATTGTTACCTTCTGTGGGGAGCTGGGGAAGCTCCCTGACGTGAGATGGTTGGGGTACGGCTGACAGGGAGGACAGGGAGCCCTAAAACCTGCCGAAGCGTGACAAGCTGTAATGAAGTGGGGAGCTAATGTTGCTATGAAGTGGTGAACACCAGTGAGACCTCTGGTGTTAGAGTCAAATACGTGTGCGGGACAGGCCCGGAATCCTGAGTATTTACCTCTCCCCGTGTACCCTCCTGAATTTCCATTTGTATGCGTAGCTTCACTAGAGAATTCTACAAAGAAATAGTCAACCAGTGAGGTCAGCTTATCTAACTATCTGTTTAAAAAAATCGAAATGTGTATATAAGAATATAAGTCACCGAGTCAACACCACCTAGAGAAAACAGCAGCTACATACAAATGCAACTACACGGTTTCGAAATCGTACAGCCATTTGCAACATATCACCCGGCTACAGCAGCCCAGGAGAGCACTTCGCATATAAAGGACAGAGTGGCCAAGGTCTTCATTCGTGTCATTTGCTTGGGGTCAATCGTCATTTCAGCAATTGAGTTCTGTAAGCAAATAACATGATCCTTGTTTAATTTTTTAAATATCTTTCTCTCTTCTGTGCGGTGGGAGCGGCTCTCTCGGAGAGCAGCACGCGGTCCTCAGCAAAACGCCGCCCAGCGGCCTCCAAGTCCCGCCCCCCTCGGTGGTGCTCCACCACCCCACCCCCAACACGGAGCACCAGGTCCCGCTTCTAGCACCGGGCTCGTCGTCACTGGCCCCTTCCCATCTAGCGTCGCTACTGTTTCCCTTTCACAGCTGAGCCCTTGTTTTCCAACACGCATGTAACCCGGGCACCCCTAGTAGACGGCGCGGTTCCAGAACCGGAGGCTGACCATCCGCCTTCAGGGGCTCCCAGTGGGTGAGCGCTCAGGGCGGACCTTCTGACCTACCTAGCACTGGTTTCTCTATTTTTAATAAAATGGGGTTATCTTCTTCAATGAACATGAAATATCCTCTTTAGAATACTCTGCTAATGTGGAAAGCAGAATCAGATGTTTTTTCATTCATACATGGATGTCCATATTGAAACTGATGGGCGTCTCTACCTGGCACTGAGACACGAATGAGAATTGTGCAAAACCTAAACATAGTAGGCAAGAACTACAGAAATAAAATGTAAGCGCAGGCCTCGAGAGACCCTCCAATCATCATTCTGCCTTGTCAAGTGATCTACAGTCACGTTTCAAACTGTAGTGCACAGGCTATCCCTAACATTACTCTTTATCCGTTCAATGTAAAATTGCATTAATCATTTATTAATAACTGTATTTTTTTTTCAACTGAAATGTTCTGGAACACATTGAGTTGCCGAGAGCATGGCGGTGCACGTTTTTTTAACGCTCTGAGTCTTCCAGGTGTCGGTTCCTTTGCGGCTGTGGCGGATCTAAGGGACACTCTCTAATTTTATTATTCTGTATCCCTTTCAAAGATTCAGTGCCTTTTATATTTTTTCACTTTGATATTTCAATGTAGAAATTCCGCTGACACTCGGCATGTACTCAATTCTAACGCTGAATAATTCATGAAGCAAATACATGACAGGATTGACAAGACTCGCTGGACCTTAGCCGGCGATCTGACTTTCTTCTGAGAGCAGAGGAGAAGAACATATATCATAACAGCACCCAAAAATGACAAATTAACTGACAAAAATGACAGTTTTCTAGTTTAACAACGTAGGATTGCTAAACTTTGAGTAGAATCTGAAAGCCTCCCCCACCTGCATCCATCCCAGGCTCTGACTCTACCTGTTCTAGGGAACTTGGCCCTCCCACTCACTGAAAACCCAGGCTTCAGAGGGCAGCCCCAAAACCAGTGCGGTGAACTCGTAATAATGCGCGAGACACCGAGCATTCGACCCGGTGCCCAGACTCTGAAAGTCATTAACCGGAGCCCGGGCAGCAGTGCTGAGACAGGCTTGGGGACCTTCTTCGTCCCTGGGACACTCCGCCGA